CTAATGTTATGCTTAAACAATATTTACTTACTAAGTTAAGTCTTGTTCGCTTCCTTTGTTCTTTAAGAATTTTCCTGTCTCTTTTCATGACCTTGTTCTGATGCTGTCTCCTTTTTGTTTTAAAATGTACTCTCATGGCCTCTGCAGATGTAAAAGTRGACTTAATTATTACGTAATCTATAATATCAATGTATACTATCGATTGTTACGTACTTGTAATTAAAGATGATGCTGTACTTGAGTCTGTACTTCTCACTCTCGCAAAGATTTCTGCATTTTTTTCTCGATCCTGGTCAGCAAATCTACAAAAAATATTAATTGAAAATTTAATACAACTCAAAATCGTATTTTACTTTACAAGAGTGTTGGGCTTATTACCGCTTTGTTAAATCCCATTTTAGATTATCTGGAATCTTAGTGTAGACATCTCTTACATTGGCCTAGAAATAAAGTTGATGTATGTTAACAAGAAAACTTTCTGTACAGATTCTTTAATATGAGTAATAACAAGCACGCAGATTTTGGCGGGCAAACTGGGTTGTTCTGTAACATGAGTAATAACAAACATGCAGATTTTGGCGCGCAAATTGGGTTGTTTATGWATACATTCAAAASAGCTTTGAACTCCTAATTCCTCATATCATAATCCATTTTGCTCATTAATATATCTACCTTTAATACTTTTGAATGAAATGCCATGCCGGCTTGAATTTTATCAACCACGATCATGTTTCGGCGCGTGACGTTTATAATTAATTCAAACAATRACTTTTGAGCGCCAAAAGTAACATCGGTAAGGTTATACAAAATATTCTGAACTAAAAGCTAAATTCGGTTTTTGAATTCTGCAATAGCAATATATAACACTCGACATGTGACATTTATAGATCTCTTACCGTCAAGTCCTTCGGTAGGCGCTTAGAAGTTGGCTTTTGTGAGGCGCATTCCTTCAGTGCCAACCTCAACTGTTCTTCAATTCTTTGATTGAAGGCCTCTTGCTTTTTGAAATAATCCTCTAGAAGCTGATTGTTTATGGCTGGGGATTGCTGTTTAGTGCTTGTAGTGATTGGACTTTCATCATCGGCGCTAGCTGCGGCATTACCCATGTCCGCAGACTCGGCGTTTGGCAAAAGAGCCAGGAATCCTGACCTTCGTTGCTCTTCATGGGCAGTAGTCGTACTCAATGGAGTAATGGGAGAACTGGATTTGACTCCTGTGTGACAATGGAGTACTGGCAATCGAGTTGGCACAACGTGGTGTAGAATCAGGA